GTGTGTGTGTCACCCGAGATCGAGCCTTGGCGCGGGTTGGGGTGCCCGGGGGTCTGAGAGCCAGGGCGGCCCCGGCGCAAGGCTCGGCTTTGCCAGTCCGAGGCTGCTAGTTTCTTCTTTCTTTCCTCCCCACTCTGGCTTTCTGGAAGTTTGCCGCGACCCAGCGCGCGGCTGTCTTTGAGTGCAAGGCGCTTGGCAGCGGAAGGTCCCTCCCCCCTCTCGCCTGTCCCTCCTTCCCTTCCCCCAATCCAGCCAAAGTCCACAGGGTCCGGGTCTCCGGGGGACCTGGGTGTCTGTCCCCCGCGGCGCGCTCCCGGAGCGTTGATTCCGGCGGTTTCCCGGTGGGGGCGGGGACCGGGGCGCTGCGCGGGGAGGGGAAGGAGCGGGGAGGGGGAGCCCCTCGGGCGCGGAGTTGCGACCTAAGCGCGAAGCTGTGAGAAAACTGTGATCTGGAGACACCTTTTACAAACACAAACAAACGACCTGGCGGGAAACCGGCGGGGGGTGCTGACGGGAGGGGGCAGGGAAAGGTGTTGAGGTCGCTGGGGCGCCGGGAGAAGCTGCGCGTGAAAGTGCGGCGCCGGGGCGGTGGACAAGACACCCCGTCCTCCGCTTGCCAGGGCCCAGGCTGGCACCAGCGCCCACAGGTCACTTCAGGCTCCTCCTTTTAAGGACTCCTCGGGACGGGGGCGAGGAGGTGGCGCGAACCTCTGGAATTTTGCTTGGGATACACACCCAGGAGGATTGCCCAGGGGTAGGATTTTCCCAGGCCTGGGTGTCCTGGTCACCATAGCTTCAAAGAGTGTCTCTAATCCCATGCGCAGGCGAGCCAAACCCCGAAGTCCGTTTCAGGGGCAACGTCTCCCTGCTGAACGCGGCTTTCGCCCACGTGGGGTCTGAAAGCAGCAGGACTGGGTGGTCCTGCTTTTTGCTCTCTGGTTGTTTTTGGTAGGGGGGTAGGCACGCGGCTCCCACGGGGCTCATCCGACCCGAATGTGGAAAGGGATACACGTGGGCGCCCAAGACAGGTACTTTGGCCGCGGCCCTTCCACGCCACTCGCGGCGCAAGGATCGGCCACCCCCCAAGGCCCGGGCTAAATGGGGGGAAATGCCCAGAAGCTCAATTGTCGAGACCCTGGGCTGGCAGGGACTCTGGGTCTCAGCAAAATGCGATACCCTCTTCGGACGAACAGGGACACCACTCCAGCGAATTCGCTGGCGCGCCGTGGAATTCCGGGGTTCCAGGGCCCTTGCCTATGCCTCTCTCCTGCCACCAAGCCCCCGCCAGCGTCGCCCTGCTACCCAGACGCTCGCGGCAGTTTCTCCCAGGCTGTCCTAGCACATTGTCACTGGAAATTGGAGCGGAGGCCCTGGGGTGGCCACCTAGGCTCTGGGCCCCGCCCCGACGTCTGGGTGCAGGGCCAAGGGCCGCCCTCTCCGCCACCCCACTCCCACCCTCGGCGGGGCTCCCCCAGGCGGGGACGCCGGACAGGAGTAACACGGGGTGGGGGTGGGGGTGCAACCCACTCGCCGGGCTCCGCGGGCTTAGACTTGGCGACAGGAAGCTTTTTCGAACCGGGCGCTTCTACGGGCGAGCCGACTGGTACCTCGACTTGGACACCCCGAAGAGCTAAACGCTGTTTGGGGTGGGACGCTCCGCTCACCCTCCAGGTCCCGCTGGCTCCGCAGGCCGCTGCTGGGTGAGGTCGTCTTGGAGCGGCTGGTGCCACAGAACCGACCCCATGCTCCCAGCCCCAGCTGCCCGAGTTCTAGGCACTGGCTCCCTCGACCCAACCGACCCTTTCTGGAATCTACAGGGGTCCTAGTCCCGGGTGGCCCGCCCCCGCCCCCGTCCCAGCTGGGCTCCTTCTCATGCAAAGCAGAGAGGCCGCTCCGCGGAGGGGTCGACAGCTGGACCTGGCCTCAGGCCCCTCCCAGGTGGGCTGGAAGCTGCTCGGTCCGTTTGGAGCGGCCGAGACTTCGCAGCCTGGACGTGAGGGCAGCCCAGTGTGGTGGGTTGTTGGGGTACAAGCTCTAGGGCATTGGGACTCTGCTGGTCGCCGTGTCCAGATGGCACGGGAAACCGGTCTAGGATAGCAACCTTTGGCGCTACAGCTGGAGTCATGGTGGCCCGCCACGCGGCCTCCTGGCTTCTGACTCAGGGCTGAACGTCCAGCTTTCACGCCTCCACAACAACACGCTCGAGTCCCGTCTTTCCGTTTAGTGAACTTTTATTTTAAAACGTACCAGTCTCGGAGACCGAGAGAGAGGGAAATAATTCACTGCCCCGGAAGCCGCTTGGCTCGTATTTACATCCGTGTCCGCGCAGCGAAGAGCACCAGCCTCCGATCGCCCTCACTGCCACACTTTCCTGGTGTTAAACTGCCCGAGTGCTGTCCAGCCAACGACCGCCACGCCTCTCCGACCCGCAGCCCGCACCGCGACGCGGGACGTTTACGTTTACGGCCAGGCCCAGACTTCCCCGCCACCCCGCTCCACAGCAGGCTTTCTCAATCAAGGGAGGGGGTCAGGGGAGCCATGTTCAGCTCTGGACAGCGGCCCGAAGGACCCTCCACCCCGACTAGGGACCTAGCAGGGCACCCGGGATGGGGAGGCTGAGGCCAGCCATCCTAGACGTCCTGCGGTTGGGGGTGGTGGTGGCAAAAAGGCACCCCATCCGCGCGCGCTAGACTCTTCCTGCCGCCTACCGGCTCCCCAGCCCCACCTCCACTCTCCGTCCGTACGTCCCCAGGGGCTAGAACGGCCCAAGGACTCAGCCGGTTGGGTCACCGCCTGTCGCCTTGGAGTCTGATGGGGCGGGCCTCCTGGGCCCGCTGCTCTTCCGCCCCCCCCCCCGTACGAGTTGCAGCGGGGCCTGCCTCTGGTCCAGTTCACAGTTCCCAGGAAAGGGCAGCGATGCCCCACCAGGAGGCACAGGGGCGCAAAGGCCGCAGTCATCAGCTTCAGCCATGGGTTGCACCCCACCACTGCTCGGCCAGGAGATGGCAAGGAGCAGCAAGGCGCTCAGACCCCCGACAACACTCCAGGAGTGGCCGACGGAAGCGGCACTTTGCTGCTCAAGTCCACGTCCCTCGGATCTGACCGGAGCGAGACCTCTAGTCCTCTCCTCCCCTCCGTCCTCTCTGACACACTCTCTTTGGCCTTGGCCTTGGTCCCCAGGTCCCATTCCCGCGCTTGGGGACCTTGGCGGCTTTACATCTTCGGTCTCGCTTCCGAGAGCCCACCCTGGCTCGCTGGCCGGCATTAGCAGTATTTTCCAGGCCAGATAACCCAAGTTAGGGGCTGACCCGAGAGACGCCGCACTCAGTGCGCTGCATTAAGTGACAAGTTTGGGGGGTTAATCACCTAGCTCCATCACGTACTGTGCCCACGGCCACGTTTTTCTAGGGGTGGTCTGGGCGGGGCAAGGGGAGATGGCCAGGCCCATCCAGCCGCATCCCGCCCAGGCGTCACGGTGTGCGCCTGGCCTGGGTAAACAACGCTGGTTTCCCACGGGGACTGGATGGAGCCCTGGAGGTCGGGGATGGGGATGCAAGTCCAGCGAGTGGGGAGCCGAGCGGGCCTGGAGGGAGATGGGGAGCCAGAAGGGCGGGGAGAGGCAAGAACTGGGTGGCCGAAAGTAGGCGGGCAGAGCCAGAGGGTAGACGGGGTGGGCAAAAGGCGTAGAGAAGTGGCGGCAGGGAAGTGGGGGAGGGACTCAGAAAAACACCCCGCGACAAAAGGGCGGCGGGGAGAGGCGCGGAGTGCAAGGACCACCGGCGGGCCGGACTTCGGGTGCGCGCGCAGGTGACAGGCGGGCTAGCGGGCGGGAGGAGAGGAGGCAGCGTGTTTGCGGGGGAGATCAGCACCCATGGAAAGGCGTGTGAGCGGCTCTGGGCAGAAATCCAACAAATAAATAAAACGTCTAAGACGGCGTGACAACAATGTGTGTTTGGGTGTGTGCCCGTGTTCCTCTGTCTGAGCACACACTCACACCCGGGAAGGAAGACAAACGGGGCTCGTGCCTCCGAGTAATTAATCCTCTCGCTAATTGACTCTCTCCCTTTACCCACTGCCGGTGGTCACCGCTGCTATCAGAGGAGACATCAAATGGGAAGAAAACAGGGTGAGAGAAGGTGAGCCCCTTTAGGGTTGGGATTGAATTCTAGCTGGACCTGGACTTGGCAGCTCTCCCCTCCTCCTCCCACCCCTCTTTTTGGGGCAGGATTCAATAGATGCTGTTGCCTGGGGCCGCGTGGGTCCAACATTAATAAAGATCTCGGATTAGGGTGATCAGGAGCCCTTCACATCAGGATCAGCTCTCTCTCACCCCCCTGGTCCCACTGTCCCAGGGGAGCCAGCGCAGACTGAAGCTCATCCACTGCTGCCCTGCTGGGTGTTTCCTCACTCTGGCCTTCCCTTCCCTCCCACTTGGCTCCCCCAGATCCAGGTCCAGCACCCCTTCTTTTAGTCACTATTTGCTCTCCTCAAGGCCGGGGACTGCTCAGCAGTCCCTGAAGCAGCTGAAGTTTTGAATGAGTTAGGAAATAGCTTTGTAGGCCAGTGGGTGGGAGAGAGGGGTATCCAGGGATTTCTAGGGCATCTACTGGGGTGGAGGGGCTGGACAGCTCAGTACACGTAATGGAGACTTGGTAAGCGGAGACTTCCTGGGGACAGAGAATGAAAAAGGTAGATCCCATGTGCACACCATACGGGAGTGTGTGTAGAAGAGAATGACCATTGCCAGGTGTGACTGGGGAACAGAGGACAGTTCTGGTCTCTGTGTGGTCATTCTACTCCCCTCAGCACACAGTTCTCAGGGCAGAAGGTGTTAGATTGGACTGGAAGTAGCTGAGTTGGCCCCAAAGGGCCTGTCTTAGTGATCTCCTGCTGCTAAAACAGAAATACCACACGTGGAGGACTTAAACACATGGTCCACGGGGCTGGAAGTCCCAGTTCAGGACGGGGAAGGCTTGCTCTCTCCGTTGACCCTGGAGGAAGGTCCTGGTCTCTTCAGCCTCTGCTCCTGGGCAGTCTGCATGGCTTGGCTTGTGTCTTCCCTCATCTCTCTCTTCAATGCTTGTTTGATCTCTTTTCTATCTCAGAGATTGATTTGAGGCACATTCTACCCTAATGCTGCTTCATTAACATAACAAAGACAACATATTCTTAAATGGGATTATAACCATATGAATAAAGGTTAGGGTTTACAACTCATTTTTTGGGTGGTGGGGGGTGGTGCAGAGTACACAATTAAAAACCCATCCCATCCCACCCTTTGGCCCTTCAAATTCATATCCTTACCTCATGCAAACACATTCACCCCATCACAGGACCCCAGGCCCACCGTCTGGTTGAGGTTTGGGTTTAGATCTGGGAGCTGCATGGTAGCTCTCACCTCTGTGAGGTGGCGGGGTTTTGTCCTGTTGGCCCCCTCCGAGGCTAAGTAAATAAACTCTGAGATTCAGACACCACCAGGTCCACAGAGAGGAAGGAGGAAGAAAGGCAGTTCCCCACAAAACCAAAATATAAAACCCCCAAAAAGCACCCCCCCCAAAAAAAAACTAAACTACATTCCAGGCCCCCCCACTCAACATAGCCTTAATTGCCCCTAGGGAACATTTGTGCATCTGACCAAAGCAAATCCCCACGCAGTCCAGCAGAATTAGCCACCCGGGTTGGCGCTCCAGAGAGAACTGAGGATCTGAAGTGGGAGGGGAGAGGGGAGTGCCGGCAGCCCTGTTTGGGAAGGTGAGAAACTTGGCTCCTGTCTCGGTCTCAGTCTAGGCTTTGGAAAGAAAGTGAGCGGAGAGGAATAAAGTTCCAGAGGAAAGACGGAGAAGGACATGGAAAAAGCAAACCCAAAGCAGAAAGGACAGAAAGTAAAGAAGAAAGAAAAAGGCGGGGATGGGGGGGTCGCCGCGGGGGAGAGACTGTAATAAAAGAGGGTGAAGGCGGCCCCAGGAGGTTGGGCCTCGTCCCAAACCATCAGTCTTCATTGTCTCCGTGTGTGCAAAGGCAACTCCGGCATAAGGAAAAGCCACTATTGGAGCCGCGGCTTTATTTTATATCCTATACATCAGGAGGGAGGCAAAGCTTTATTTTCGCCAAGAGACAGATATTTTATTTCTCTCTTACGGTTTTATGTGTGAGAGATGTCAGGTTGCCACAATGGATGGCTAATGCATAGGCAAGAGGAAGCCGTGTTGGCATGCTGTGTGTCATGGGGTCTTAGGCGGGGGAGCGGGCCTGGGATTTAGGGCTGATGGGACACTCTGGGGGATTTCTGCTAAAACATCTTTCTTCATAAATCCAGAAGCATGGTCAGCTCAACAGGGAGAAGAAAGAGTTTCAGAGGGAAAAGAGTTGGGCTTACTAATAAAGGAACACACAAAGGAACAGCGAACCTTTCAACAGGCTTGGGCAGAGTGGGCACCCTGGCCCCATGCAAACTTGGAGCCTCAAGTCCCAACACACAGGCGCCAGTCAGCCACTGGGAAGCGGCTTCCAGACAGAACCCTATGTGACTCTCCCCTTTTCCCCCAATTTTATTCTTTTCTGCCTTTTTGCTTTCACTAGAAATCGTTTTTTTAACCTCCTTAGAGCCTGGAGGGTAGGAGGGGGATGGTTGGGGAGGAAAGAGCTATTAATTTGCAAATCATCTGATCTGTGAAAGAATCAAGATGCCTTGTTTTTCCACCGCTAAATCCCGGGTCTTGAGTGGACACACGTATGCACACATGAGCCCAGCTTCCAGCGAGTCCTGGAGTGTAGGTGCCAGATTGGAATCCAGGAAAAGCCCCCAGGGACATGGAGGACAATTAAACATTAGATCCCAAAGTGCGCCAGGCTCCTCCTTGAAACCTGGAGAGAAGGGTGGGGGTGGGTGGGGAAGGGAC